TGGGTGGGGTGTGGGGGGTTGGTGGTGATGGGACATAGGGTGGGGAAGGTTGAAAAAAAGTTTTGGAAAATGTTGCCCCTTATTTTAATAGGGAAAACATTTTCCACTAATTGGATGAAAATGAGTTCATGAGCAAAATGTTTTCCAAAACATTTAAGCCTTGGAAAACATTTTCTCATACGAAACACATCCCATATCTTTGTGGGTTCTCTTTTTGGTATACTAATTGTATACGGGTGTTTCTGCACACGTGTGCAATTAAATCTTCTCACTTTTTCCCAATAAAAAACACGGAATATGCATGTTTATAAGTTGAAGTTGCACTTTTTCTTTCAATTGGAAGTGTTGTGAAAGGATCTTAGATCCAACCCAAAAAATTTAATGTAATAAGTGCAGTGTTATAAAAGGCGTTAAGCTCTAAAGTGAGGCTCAAAACATGTTAAGCGCCTCGCCTCGCTTAGCGGGCGCTTCAGTGTTGTCATCAAGGCTCTAAGGTACATATACTTTTTTTTGCCAATGAGCGTAATCATGAAGAAACGATACCAAACAATTTATATTTCACGTTATTGTAAATTTTCTTCAATCTCTCTGTCCATATATTTGGTATTCATTCATATAGATATTAGTCTTGGAGTACACATACATATTTGTAGTTTTTCTCTATTTGCGTCTTTCTTCATTAAAGCCCGCGCTTTATTTGTGCTTTGCGCCTAAAGCCCCAACATACCTTAGAATTTTTTTGCGCTTTTCGCCTTTGATAACACTGAATAGGTAGAGTAGCCCAAGACCTTATAATGTCACTTGGAAATTTCTTACACTAGTAATTCGAGATGTTGAAGGGGAGCCTTGGCGTAACTGGTAAAGTTGCTGCCATGTGACCAGGACAACCTCTTGCAAAAATGCAGGGTAAGGTTGCGTACAATAGACCTTTGTAGTCCGGCCCTTCCCCGGACCCCGCGCATAGCGGCAGCTTAGTGCACCGGGCTGCCCTTTTTAGTAATTCGAGATGTTATATATGCCTAACACCATCCCACGTGTAATCGGTTGTAGGGTTTACATGTGGAATGATTTTTTTCCTAGTTCTTTTGTGGTTAATGAGTTCAAATTTTAAGAGATCTCAATAAGCATAAGAGTGGGGCTGGTGTAGAGAGCAACTCAAGAGGCTGAAGCAGGGGTTTGAAGTCGAGATAGTATGCTTAGAAGTGGGCTTGAAGCAAAGTTAGTGATTTAATGGTTTGAGTTGATAGATATGCTTGGATAGAATAGTTGTAATAATGACCTTACTAGTGGAAAAATTGGCTTACAAAAGTTCGGCTCTGATACCATGTAAAAGAATATGAGCATCCAATCGGCAATTTTAAGGCAATATGTGGAGTGGCCCAAGACCATTATAAATTCCTTTTTGGAAACCCTTACACACTATTGTATATCTTTAAAAAGTGCAATGGAAGAGATTGAGGTCTAAAATTTGTGAAAACTGGAAGAAGGAATGAGCAATATTTCAATGAATGAAAAGGGTATTAGAGAGGCGGGGAGGGGACAGCTTCTTTCCTGTTTCATTGTCAAGCTGGTAATTCTTGATCGTTCTAATTTACTTTTAGTAGTTTCTCTTATCAGCATCTTTCATCCTCTTTTGCCTCTAATAAGCTGGTCAATTTGGAGTTGCATTTTGAGCATTTACCAGGAAAACATCCACTACATCTTTTACACAGTTTCAGTTTTTAGGTTTATTTTTCTTCAGACCATTCTCTTTCACAATTGTTAATATTTTGTCTCTCTTCTGTTAGCATTTAAGTTCTTGAATTGTTTATCATTTCAATTATTCACCTAAAATTTGCTGTTCCAGTTCAAATTTTGGCACAAAGCTTGTGACTTGCTCCAGAGAGAAACCGGTGATGGCGAAGGAGGTTTTAGCTGCTGGTCCTCAGCCTCGTACCATATTGGAAACGATAATTGTAACCCTAGCTCATCTTGCGCTGCACAGTGAAAAAATTGAATTGGAGGTATTCACGAGGCAGGTTTTGCTTGAATTACACCCCCGCACCCCAACACACACAAAAAAAATAGAGGCTGGTTTTGCTTGGCAATTTTCATGTTGTTAGCTAAAAAATTTGAACATCTCTTACTGAGGAAGACGTGGTAACAAAATATGAGTCTTTGACCCTGTAAAATATAATTTATTATTAACATAAATGTAAACGGAAGGTGCACCATAAAGAGATTTTTACTGGCCCTAAAATGCCTGCTAGGTTGATTATTGAAAGAGGTTTGTTTTCCGTATTTAAAGAGGGGTATTTGCTTGAGCCTTTTCCTTGTCTTTGGTTGCTGTTGGTAAGAGGTTATCAGGTCCAATTGTATAAAAGTTGAGTGTCATGATAAACTTTAAGTTGTTCCAATTTAGCATGTGTTTCCATTGTGCTGAAACCCAAGTTATTTTTCTTTGTTGTTACCCAGCTGACACTTGACCTGATGAACATGATTTACATCTGATTTGTTTAANGTGGAAGACGCGGTAACAAAATATAAGTCTTTGACCCTGAAAAATATAATTTATTATTAACATAAATGTAAATGGAAGGCGCACCATAAAGAGATTTGTACTGGCCCTAAAATGCCTGCTAGGTTGATTATTGAAAGAGGTTTGTTTTCCGTATTTAAAGAGGGGTATTTGCTTGAGTCTTTTCCTTATCTTTGGTTGCTGTTAGTAAGAGGTTATCAGGTCCAATAGTATAAAAGTTGAGTGTCATGATATTGCTAACTTTAAGATGTTCCAATTTAGCATGTGTTTCCATTGTGCTGAAACCCAAGTTATTTTTCTTTGTTGTTACCTAGCTGACACTTGACCTGATGAACATGATTTACATTTGATTTGTTTTGATCTGTTGCAGTGAACACATTAATTTGCTGCAATTATTAGAGAGTGCATGTATATCTCTTCGCCCAAGATTAAATATTTTGACTTTATGAGGTTATATCTGTCCAATTTGTTGTTTTTGCAGGCTGTTTTTATGGTATGTGTTATTGCTGCTATTAACCCTTGTCTAAGGTAATCAAAAGTCATCAGCTGGTCATGTTTTTCTGGGAGGTCACTTGATTCTTATATTTTCCTGCTTTCAGGAAACTTGTTATTGTTGTCCTTGATAATCTATCAAGGGAGTTAAAGTATACTTCTAGGTCAAAGGTATAAATAAATCTCTACTAGTATTTGCTTATGTTAGTTAAAGAGCATAGGCAATCAGCCTTATAATTCCTGATGAAGAAGTGTGAGATTGTCAACCTGCTTGATCTTTTAAACATTTTTCTCTCTGGCACAATCTTGTCTGTTTGCAGTATATGGAAGAACTTATGGCGCCAATCCTCTTTAGTTGGGTTGCTTCTGGTGTAAATTTAGCTGCTCTTCTCGAGGTAATGTGTTTCTTTTTTCTAATCCGACTCATTATCAACAATTTGTTGCATCCCAAGTAGCCGACACATTAGTTATACTTCATGCCAGGTAAGGGATCTGTTCGTCTTCAATGTAGAGCCTATCAATTTCATTCAGTCCTGCTGCCGTTGGCTTATTCCATCTTTAATGTTGCATGGTGACATTTCCAACATGAATTGGCTTGCGAAGGTTGTAGTTTCTTTAGTTACTTTTCGTTCAGTTACAATTTTAAGTTAGCGATATACTTGTATGATTTCTCTAATATTCTTATGGTGCTTACTCTACAAGTTCCATGCTTTCTCTGTTGAATATTCTCAGATTTTAGTCACTGTTCTACTCCGTACCTGAAATTTCTACATTTTCATCTTTTGCAGGTTACTTGTGAGCCTCTTGCTGAAATGATTAAGAATCACTTTGTGGATATTTTCTCTGTTTGTATTACGTTACACTCCAGTAAGAAGGCTGGTTGGGAGAAGGGATCAGCTGTACTTGAAATGTCAATTCTGGATATTGCTAAAATATCTGAAACTGAAAGAGACAAACTTATAAAGAAGCACATGGTATGGCTCTTTTATACACATCCGAGTTAACATTTTCATGATTTGTCTGAAATGAAGTGTGTGAAGGCCTTGGCGTAATTGGTACAGTTGCTGTATGTGACCAGGAGGTCACGAGTTTAAGCCGTGGAAACAGCCTCTTGCAGAAATGCAGGGTAGACTGCGTACGATAGACCTTTGTGGTCCGACCCTTCCTTGGACCCCGCGCATAGCGGGAGCTTAGTGCACCGGGCTGCCCCTTTTTTTAATCTGAAATGAAGTGTGTGCTATGCGAGGAAAGTGCTGAAATTTTTCTTCTTGTGTAGAGATTTGCTCGCATGAACCTCATATCTAATTGCATAGGTTTGGGATAACATCTGTTTCTCTGCATAGCAGTGGCTTCTATGGAGAGTAGTCTACGATGCTATAATGTGATACGATTGTTTCAATTTCTTTATAAGGCTGAATGTTTCATTTATTATCTCAATGTTACTGGAGTCTTCCTCTTTCACATGAAAAATCAATCTTCTTTCCCAAGCTTTCTCTAAATAATTCCATCATATGTTTATGCAGGTTTCAATCGTGAATACTATTTTCTCTCTTGCTTCAACAGCTGTGGACCCTGTTCTTCCTTCATTTTCCAAGGAGACAATTGCACGTGCAATTATGACAGTTGTGGATGGATTCTTGGAGATGTGCAGTATCTTTTCTCGGTCATTTTTGTAATTTTATGCTGCTGTTGGCATGTCTTTAAATTTTCTTTTACCACTTTCTTGTAGAGATGACTCTTGTCAAAATTTTGGTCTTATTGACAAGATTAACATTTTCCGACCTGATCGAGTATTTACGGTACTGCTCGCGATTTGTGTATATATATTTCCCCGGTGAATTTTTTGTTTGACTATATGTCTTACTTAATAACTGCTGGTGGACAGTTTCTAAATTATGAATATTGCTGTGCAGTTTATAGTAGAGCTGCATTACAAAGTTGCTGCAGCTGGTCATTTCAGGCACAAATCTGATAGGCTTGCTGGGATTGAAGTGCTTATTGATGTATTAGGGCATCGAGTTGCGGTTCCTAGTACTGCCAGGTAAGCTTAAATTGGACTTATGCCTCTGCTTAGGGGGACAGTATTTCACGGTGAGGGCAAATGCGTCTCCCTTCTCTTTTTAGCTTTGAACAAGCTGAGAAGGTCATCTGGGAAATGCAATAGCTTTTTAATTTGTTGTTGTGTTTGATTGGAATTTCAAATGTTAATCATGAACTTTTCACTTTGCTTTTTATGTTTGTCCAGTATAGCTGTTTATTTATTTGAGCATATGGATTGTTAATGTTAGCAATCTAACCAAACTTACAATTGTTTCATATTTTGAAGTAAAATAACTATGATGCATTTTTAGTATAGACTTGAGTGAAATTGTCTGAGCTTTTGTTTGTCCTCAATTTTATTTACACATGGCTGATCTGAGGTGGTACTTGTATGCCGTGGTTGTGGTGCTTTACTGCTTCCCTGCATTGCTTAGGTGGTGCTACTTTTGCTCAACTTTTATTATACATTTATTTCATGCTTAGAGGATCTCGCATCTGACATAATTTTTTTTTTTTCCAGTTATCTCCTCAACTTGATTGGTCAATGCTTGGACCTTGATGCTTTGCTGGACCAATGTTGTCGAATGATCTCTTCATTGCTAAAAATTTTCAAAATAAAGCAATTGGAGGGAACCACTGTTGTCCTAGGTGAACAGCTTCAGGTTGATGTCACTGAGGCTCTTATTTTGATATTTATCTATATTATTTATGCCATAACTCTTCAAGTGTTTTTTAACCTTTTGCCATTTTTTCCATTACAGTTTTTAATTTCCAAGTTGGTAATGTGTTGCATTTCTTCCGAGTCTAGTCCCAAACTGTCAGCTGACACATCATCTCAAGTTTTGTCTCTGCTCAGCCAACTTACCTTGGACTCCGACCCATCACTACACGAGTACATTAAAGTATGCATTTATGTTATTCTTATTACCTGAACAGTTTTGGACCATCATAGTACCTGAGTAGCCAGTGGAATGCTCATTGGTCTCACTAATTACTGTGTGCGTCACTTCAGGAACTAGAGCCATTCCCTAACATCGATTTATTTCATGATATACGGATGTTCCATGAGGAACTATGTCAAAATTACTCGCCTAGGGAGCACTTGTCAATCGTAAGTAGTCACTTGGAACTTCAATGAACAGTTTGATGACCTTTCATTTTGTTATTCATAACACTTAATTTCATTTATCTTATTTGGCTGTTTCAGTTAGGGAAACGATCTCGCTACCTTCCGCCAAGATTACTTGTTTGGAGGTAATACAGCTTCTACTTTTCAGTGCCCCAATTCAGAGATAGTCTCTATGCTGTATCGCTTCTTCCCAAATTATAGAGGGCAACANATGTTTCTCCATTAAACTCTCTCTCCCCTTGCAAAGCATTTTTTTGCAAGATCTATTTGATAACTGTGTTTTCGATTGATTTGTTATAAGTAGGTATTCCCTAAAACAGGAAGATGGGTTTGTTTTACAAGCATAAAGAGGAATGATAGTAGGAACAAGTTAAACAGAACAACCTGCAGATTGCTACATCAAAAGGTTTATAAATTAAATAGATTTCCAAGAGAATAATACCTTGAGAATAACTTGGGAGGTCTACTTGATAGAAATTAATAGCCTGTTTGGACATTAAAAAAAATTCACTTTTTTCCGAAAATTTTTCACCTTTTTCCGAAATCAGTGTTTGGCCATAGAATTTTCAATTTTTACTTGAAGATGAATTTTGTAATTTTTCGAAAATTTGAAAAACTCCAAAAAGCTGTTTTTCAAAATTTTCACTCATATCACTCACAAAACTTCAAAAACAACCCAAAATTATATTCATGTCCAAACACAATTCTAATTTTCAAATACCATTTTCACTTGAAATTTTTTCACTTTTTTTGGAATTTTACATTTCTTATGTCCAAACGCCCACTAAGTTTCATGCAAGTTAGTATTGATGTTGAAGAGTAAAACAGAAAGAATTACTGTAATAATGGAACTTATAAAAGAAAAAATACTTTGACTTGGAAGCGTCGAACAATTAATTTGATAACAAGAAACTAAAATTGAGCTCCGTCTGTCTCATTTTAATTTGACACACTTTCTGTTTTAATCAGTCTAAAAAAGAATGACAATTTCTCTATTTGATAACAATTAAAAATTAGTATCCCATGTTACCCTTGATGACATGATTTGTTTGGACTCACTTGATATAAAGTTCATTAAAATGAAGAGACATGTGGACATCACTGATAAGGGGGAAGTCACCGCAAATATTAGGATTTAATCTTTTTAGTTTATTATGCTCTTGCTGGATAAAGTCTGACACAGTCATAATTAACTGAATAAAGTGCTTTCTCTCTAAGAGCTTAAGATTTTAGGTAAGATGATCATGCAATTCAATATGGTATCAGAGCAGGCAGATGTGTTGAGTTCAAGTCTCATTGCTAAAAAAAGAATTTTCATGTGTTTGGTCCATGAAAAGGAATCAGTTCCACACGTGAGGGGGTGTGATGAAGACATAATTCAGTGAATAAAAGTGCTCTCTCTCTAACAGCTTAAGCTTTTAGATGAGATGGTCATTCAACTCAACAAAGTCCTTACATTTGTCCCAACATTAGGAAGTTGGAGATAGGATTTAATAGGTGTGCGTATTGCACAAAGTGTCCACCTTAACACAAACTAATATGGGAGGGAAGTGAGCGGTAAGAAATTCAACTTAAACGAAAGGAACAATGATAAAAGTGGAACTAAAATAAAGACCCTTCAAAGAAAGAAAACCAGAAAAAGTCAAAAAGACCGATTTATCCTTTTTTTACACTCTAAATCTTAATTTTTTTGGATAAGTAAGGTGCCTTGTTTGTACACTCTAATCTAGATTTTGATTTTAATAATTATGTTGGAAAAGTGTTTTTGGTATTATTAATGTCTTATTATGTAACTTTTAGTTGCCTAATTTGAAAATTAAAAGGAAGAGGTACTCTTGTGTGCCCTCTTGGTACACTTTTTATTAATAATAGTTTACCTTTTTTTAAAAAAAGGAAGAGAAGTACCAGAGTAACTCAGTAATATGAAAGTATATAAAGCATATTTTCCTTGAGTTCTAGCAATGTTTACATATTTTATTAATCCAGTAATAGATAATGCAAGTATCTGATTTATTTGTTGTTATCATATGCAACGTTCAATCATTTGGAAGAGTGGTTTAAGCTTAATCCTGGTTGTCTTATGGAGGGTCTCAAGTATGGAATGAGTGCGTTAGTAGCTTTGATAGTTGTTGGTGTCCCACATTGGTGGAGGAGAGGTTGTTGTCTCCTTATATGGTGTTGGACAATCCTCACCTCATGAACTAGCTCTTTTGGGGTTGAGTTTGACTCAAGGTCCATTTCTTATCAATAGTGCAGGAGAATCTTGGAGTCATGACTGAAGTTCAAATATATGAGCATTTATTTGATTACAATATCATGGGAATCAAATCTATTCCCACATAATCCTTGCATATTAGAAGGAAATTAGAAAAGCTGACTTTGGAGGTTAATGTGAGGGGCATCTTTCTGGGAAGTTGGGTGGAAGATAATTTCTCTGATGTGTAGTTTACTTTCTCGGATTAATCTTGCTTGCAAGTTATCAAATTGATTTATAGGGTGCATTTTCAGCCAAATGTTATATTGAATATTTCTGGTCAAGTTTATCATTCTTAGCATTCGTTCTCATGCAGTTAAATGTCCTTTTCTCAATATTTTCTAAATTTACTATCTTTACAACTAGGCTGAAGTCATAGATGAGTATACTAATCTGCTTCAGATTTCTCCCAATGCTATCTATTTTGCTCTGTTGCAAGTGACTTTGGTAGTTAAAAGTTCTTCTCCTTTGGCGGCAGTCTAAAAGCATTACACAAAAAATTGTTTGAAGATGAAGCATACCCAGCACAAAAGAATGAGGAAAATATTTTCGAAGATGCATATTTGGATTCTGACCATGAAATTGTCCACACAGTCTGGAACCTGGTGCACACATGTAGTTTGAGTGGTGCTGGCAATTTTGGGTCGCTGGTCTCTGATTTTTTATCTCGGGTATCATTTTTAGTATTGCTATACTATTGAGTTATTCCTTTTGCTGTTATTTCATTTATCTCGGCTGTCTACTTTCTTTCTTTTTTCTCTTCACGTATCTCAGTCGTTTGCTTTCTTAACTACAATTTGCAGGTTGGTATTGGCGATCCACATGGTGTTGTGTTCCATCTTCCTATCGAGTCTAAATCTGTACATGAGCATAACTTCCACCTTGGTACGGGCATATCAGATGATCTTCTGGTAGCAATTATGAGGCTCTTAAAGAAATATTTGATGGATGACTCTGTTAAGATAATTGACATAGCATCTCAAGCTTTGCGGGTGAGTAAACATATGATGGATTGTGTACTATTATTTCAAGCAGATTTCTGCCAGAACCCATATTTCCATTCTGTACTATTATTATTCATAAGAAGTCATCATTTAAGTCAGTTTTAATGCACGAATTTTGGATTGGCATCAATAATCTCTATTGTACTTGTTAATAAGGCTGGTCACAAAGAAGGTGGTTCAAGCTTAGGCTTCATATCTAGTGACCTTAACTTACGTGCCAACCAATCAAACCACCCTGCCTCTCGACTTGGGAACCAAATAGAAAAAACGAGAGAGAAAGAATGCTCTGATGGAAGAGAATGGATGAACAAATGAAAGAAAGATTCTAAATGAATACAGAGAGTTAGATACAGTGTTAGGTTATCAAGTTTTGCAGTTCCTGCATTGGTTGGATAAATGCTATATGGTTATCTACTGAAGCTACATTGTTAACTGATGTATTAATGCTTGAACAAGCCGAGTCTATCAAAGTGAAGTTACTGAACAGAATATCTGTGTCATTGAAGGGATCTTATGACTATTTTCATGATGTTCTTTACCCTCCAAGAACAAGTTTGGTTCCTCAGATCCTCCTTCTTGATTCCTTAGGCACCACTGGATATATGTCCAGTCTCTATTGTTGTGCTTATGTTCCGTCATCTGTGCTAGGAGATTAGCTTTGTCCATGTTTAAGATGTTAATTTCAGGTTGATACTCTGTTTTTGCATACCGTTTGAAACCTTTGAAATACATATTTCAAGGTTGCTCTTGTAATTTTTACACTGATATTCATTTTTGAGGATGAGGGCCTTTCCTACCAGCTAAAACCGAAGTGATTCATGAGTATCTGGTATAAAAACTTGGTACTTGTATTGCTGTTTTCAGATTCATGAGTGCATCCCAGCTTCGTGTGCAGCAGATCAGTTTTGAGTTCTTGAAATTGGTGCTTTTTTTACCCTATTTGGGTGTTAAAAGGCCTGATGCAATTAGTCTTGGTAGAGAGTGCCAAGTGCAAAGTATATTTCATTGATTAAAATATTGAAGGTGCTTAATTAATGATCCTGGTTTACTACATTCTTAGCCATTTCATCTTGGGTGCTCATGTATTTTAACACCTGTGTCTGCTTCTCACTTTCATTCTTTCAATATTTGTTTCTTTTTGTGTCATTCTCAACTATTCTGTGCAACAACTTTATAGTTTCTCTAACAGTCATGGTTTTCAGAGGATAAAAGTTCAAAAGATCTTGTATTCTGTTTTTCCTAAGCTCGTCTGTTCAAGCAGGGGATACTTTCAACTGAAAATGGTCAGAGGGCTTTGCTATCATTTGATTCTTATCAGAGATCCCTTATTGAGGTAAGTGAAATTGTTCTGTTATAGTCCTTGCTGTTAGTTAAAACATATATTTGATGAAGTTGGATGGAACACTTAAGTTAACAAATCTTTTAAGACAACAGCCTTTTTCTCTTGGAACGTATCTTGGATATAATTATCCGCCTTTTATTTCGCTTGACTTTCAGTAATATTAGTTCTATGATGTGTCAAAAAATGTTGAGACAGTTTGATACGACCAGTTTAGACAAATTGTCAGGGGTTTTGCTTATTATTTTTGGCGTTACTCATTTGTTTCCCAATATTGGAAGTTAAGCTGCTCTTAGTGTGTTTGTAGGTGCATTCCAAAGGTGTCGATGTCAACCTGGTTCAGAAACTCCTGGCAGATCTAGAAAGAAAGCTTAATGGTATGATTCAGTTCAGTGATTAAGTTTAAGTTATGTTGGTCATCTTTTATGTTGTTCCGTGCTTTCTTTTGCTTGTACCGAATATTACTATATAACTGTTGAATAATGAGAGAAAAAAAACGTATTCCCATGTTCCTCTTAAAGTTGTGAAATTACTTCTGTTATTTTATTTCTACTAGGACCTCTTTTGCCTGAGAAGTGAGGCCATTATTCCAGCATTTCCATCCTGGAGTTTAGACTCTGATGAAGCTTGTTTTTATATTCAATATTTCCGTGTTTTTTTGGGAAAAAAACGTTTCTTTCTCAAAGATAATGCGCATAAGTTTAGTACAGTTCGGCTTGTGAAACGGGTATATCAGCAAATGCGGGGAAACATCTACTATTCCTTTCGACCCAAATACACCAAAAAATGCTTGCAGGTACCATATTCCAGACTTTTTTGATGGTTCTGTCAACTTCCCTTGAGCTCCAGCTCACTGATGTCTTCCTCTTATTGATGATGATACATAAATGTGACTGGATAGACGTCTCAATACAATGGAAGATAGAGAGAGTTCTTCATCCTTTAAAACATCTACTATTCCTTTCGACCCAAATACACCAAAAAATGCTTGCAGGTACCATATTCCAGACTTTTTTGATGGTTCTGTCAACTTCCCTTGAGCTCCAGCTCACTGATGTCTTCCTCTTATTGATGATGATACATAAATGTGACTGGATAGACGTCTCAATACAATGGAAGATAGAGAGAGTTCTTCATCCTTTAAATCATCTACTATTCCTTTCGACCCAAATACACCAAATAATGCTTGCAGGTACCATATTCCAGACTTTTTTGATGGTTCTGTCAACTTCCCTTGAGCTCCAGCTCACTGATGTCTTCCTCTTATTGATGATGATACATAAATGTGACTGGATAGACGTCTCAATACAATGGAAGATAGAGAGAGTTCTTCATCCTTTAAATTGAATGTCTCAGTTGCCTTTTGAGTGCATTAGGTTCTTAAATTAAACTATTAGGTTTTCCTTATAGTCAATGTCCCATTTTGTCTTTGGAATGACATTAGAGTTTCCTCTAAAATGAACGTCTTTCTTGCGTTCCGCGTGCACTAGATTTTCCAGCAACGATGTTCTTATTACGTTTAGGTGATATTAGGTTTCCTAGTTTAAAATAGGGTTTCTTGAACACATATGTCACACTATCCTTTTGAATGACATCATGGTTTCACGTAAAATGAAGTATCTTCTCTTTAAGTATTTGATCTTGTGTCCTCTCTTGAAATATGATGTTATACTGTGTGATCTGACTGCTAGAGTTAATTAGGCATGGCAGCAAACACTGTCACCTCAAAGTTGCCACTAGTGCTAGTTCCCCCATGTTTCATTCATCATGATTCATATTTCATCTGCTCATGGTAGACTATAGTGTTGCGCTGTTGCAACCTGTCATCAATTTACATCCAAATTTGTTCCTTCCCCTTACTTTAAGTGTGAACTAGATTCCCACCACCATTATAAAGCAACTAAGTAGCGGGAAGTTGAAACTTAGGCGATGTAGAACTATCTCAATTTGCTTTTTTGTTAGTTTATTTCACATCTTTGATTTTTGATCCCAGAATCTTGATCCTTACTGTTCTCTACATTGTATTTTCAATTACTTTTCATATCTTCAACTTTTGATCTCGGATCTTAATCCTTAAATTTTTCTCCAGAACATTATATTCTTTTAAATACGTAGTCCTGTAATTTTTTTTTTTTTTTTTTTTTTTTTTTTGT